AGCTGTATTCATTCTTAATCTTAAGAACACTTACTACAGAACTTAGTGATGGCTAACAATGTATGAAGACAGGTAAAAAGAGAAAAATAACAAAGAACAACAACAGCCAAAACCAAAAACAAAATAAGAACAAAAACAAACAAACAAAAACCCAGATCTGGTCTGAAAATCCTGTTTACAGAAGGAGACTGCCCTGTAATGTTACTGAGAACACATTCTGTTTCCTTTCTGAATCTTTAATCCCCGTATTCTTCCGAATCAAGTTTATTTATTATTCCCCAAACCATTTTCTCTATTCCATTTCTTCCATCTTGAAAATGTGCCTTTGAGAATTCAAACTCTTGTTTGATACAGCTCTTGGGGCATTCTTCTGGGTTATATTGAATTTAATCACAGGGTCGCATGAACCAAGTAGCTATGCTGTTTCTAATCTACTAACTACGCATTTTCTCCAAGATTGGATGGGACCTATCCCATTAGGGTTTCTGACACGGAAGGTCAATAATTCTTTATTGCATCCATAATTTTATATTTTATTGTCCTACACCTCTCAAAAGTTTCACAGGTTTTGTGGAGAAAATGAAATCTCCTATCGCGAAAATAGATTGCTATTTCCTTGTCTTCTTTAAGTTATCATGGGGTTTATTACTCTTTTTCTTTCAATTTCTAATAGGTACCCTGCCGTTCCTCTTTTATCTTTAGCGTTTAGATATACTATTGCAATATAATATGTATTTATTTTCACTCTGTCATATTTTTTAAATATCAAATGTATTTAAATTGAATCAGATTTTAATAAAAATTGTATGATTACAAACAATTGTTTTTGTCACTTTTGTGTCTTTTAACTATTTACAAATAATAGAAAACCTCATTTGTGGATAAAAACTTGAATGCTTCCTGAAAATATGAGGACAATTAATAAAATCACCAATAACAGTAATTTTAAAAATCATATATTTGGGTGATTAAAAATACTTAACACCTTAGCTACACTTTATTTTAGATTGCCATATTTTTAAATAATTAGTTTAAGCATATGAATGCATGTCTGTCTTGAGTTTATGTGCCAAACACCTATGTAGGTTCTAAGGGAAACCAAGAGAGATTAGAACCCATGGACTTGCAATTACAGGAGGTTGTGTGCCATCTTGGGAGTGCTAAAAATTTAGAATCTAATCAAGGAAAGACCAATAAGCTCACTAACAGTGCAGCCATCACTGAGGCTGCTGCTACTGATAATTTTAACTGGGGAAATAAACCTAATAGGAACAGCTAACAAGGTGAAGTCTCAAATTCAAACCAATGTTTTTCATGAGCTTTCACAATTTTTAATATCAGTGGATGGTATATGAAGGGCACAATGTAGTTCACAAGCTCATTTCTGATAAAATGCTGAGTTCACCAAAGATACAAGTTCAGAAAAAGAGTTGAGAAATGAAGTGTGTATTTCCAAAGTGAAAGATACAAAAGTAGGCAGAAGATAGGTGTAAATACAGATGTTTTTAAGACATTTTGTTACCAAAAACTTTATTAAAAATATGAGCTTGATCACATATCTGAGTTTGTTGTCAAATGCATTTTTCATCAAAGGATTATATTTTAGACTTAACAAATGACAATGGTTTCATGAGCAGGATTTTTAAAGTCATTAAATTTTCCAGACAATTATTTGTATGTTAAAATAATATAACCCCACAGTTTAATAAAAATTTAAATATATTTTATGTATAAAATATTAGCATTTAAAATTGCATGCATTCATTAAGATCACTCATGCTAAAATACAAACTTTCTTATATTAATCATAATAATAGCTAAAATGTTTGAACATGTTGTTATCAAACTTGGTATTCTTCAAAATTTGCATATATATGAATATGATTTTTATTAAAATAATAATGACCTGATCAAAGCATTTTTGGAATATAAAGAAACTAAATGTAAAAAGAACATTACATTTTACTTTAAATTTTATGCAGAGAGTGTGTCTTTGAATCAAAGAGAATTTTTGAAAAAGAAGTATCTTAAGTAGACAATTCTGCCGCAAATTGACAAGGTAGTCAAAGACAGTTGTAAAATTTATTAGAAAGCAATTCACAGTTATGTGAAGAATAGCACTGAATAATAATATTGGTGCTTCATTCTTTGTTAGTGTCACCAAGTAAATTTCACAACAGCAGTGTAGTTTGTATAAAAAATATGCTCATTGTACATCGATTATCTATTATAAGAATGCTTCCTATTTTGTCACAAATAAAATACAGATCCCAGTCTCAGGGATGCTTTGCTTTGTAAAAACACTGGGTATACAATCTAGACAACCCAACTTCAAAAATAGGCAGTACCCACAGGAAAGCCTTCCATGACTGTATCTTTCTGTAACCCAAGTGGTTGTGGCTGAGACTGTCAGTCAAATAGGGACCAACCAGCCTAAAGAAACAGTGAACTTCAGATTCAGCAAGAAAGTGTCTCAAAATATATGTTGAAGAGTAATAGAGGATGATATGAGATGTTCTTCCTTGACCTCCATTGTGTGCTCTCAGAAGTACACATGGGAGCACACTACAAGAAGCATGTTATCATGCCAGGAACGTGCACATAAATAATTATATAT